ATCAGTCAAAAAGAATTTGCAAATCAATAATGGATACATTTTAAAGAAAAAATTAAAATGTTTGTCTTTTTTGCATTAGTGTTATTTTATAATAGAAATAAAGATGATTTTTATGTTTGCACTGACTTATGCAAACCTTGGAGACATTTGTGAGAACTCTCGAGCATTTACAACCCTCTACCTTTGGTCTCGGGCTTGCACTGATCTGCTCTCGAGTTCTTCCAACGGTCTCCCCGGTTTGCATAAGCCTGTGCAAACACAGTAAACATCTTTTCTTTCTTAAATAATAATTTTATTGCTTCCGCGCGTTATTTTGTAGTTTAAATTGTAAGTAGGAGATATGTCAATCAGGGAGAAACGGAGAAAGGGTAGGAAATATTCTGTTAAAAAATACAAAAGTGCTGGAAAAGTTTGTTACTTTTACTTTATTTACTCAAAACATTCTGCGTGGTAAGATTATAAAGTCCAAGGTTAATTGCGGACGCTGCAAAAGAAAACAGGCTGTTTTCTACAATTAGTTGTATTTTGTTCACATGCACATAGTGTGACTCACGTGCACCGGGGATAGCATCATCGGTAATGAACAAACAAATCCCATGTCATTCAGACATCGTTTACACTAAACAGTATTTGTCCGGATTCGCTAAAGTATTCGGATTAGTTGTTTTTGAGCCTTCAGCGTATTGTTTGGGATTCGGTGGTTCACACTTCGAGTTTCGATTGTCGAAACCTGAGAGATGGAATTGTTTCAAGAATGTTGTGCTTTTAATGCAGCTAGTTTAATATTTCATTGTATCATATATGCCTCCTAAAAAGAAAGCAAAGACTTATTCTACTCGAGAAAGAGAACAAGCGAACAATTTAGTCTGGTCTGACGACGAAATCGAACTGCTATTTTATTATATCAATTTCATTCACTCCTGTGTTATCCGTCATCTTGAATTTTTTGTATTCGGATTTGTCCGGCTTTCCGTTTACACGCAGATTTTAAGGAGATGAAAAGTTTTCAATTACAACAATCCCACAAGCTTTTCCGGATTCAAAATATCAAATTTCCTCATGCATCCGAAATAATTTTGTATCGGATTTATGATTGCAAATGTAAACAGAAAAATGAATCCAACATAAAATATCCCAGATTTGCGATGAATCCGAAATTCCGCCCTAGTGTAAAGCCTGTTTTCCACTAGCCACGTATCGTAACGTATCGTAGCAAAACGTAACATGGCGCATGCGTGCTAGTGTATTTGATGGCTAATAGGCGTATCACAATTTTAATACGCGTATTAAAAAACAAGTTCGCGTATTGTCAACTTTTTTCGTACGAATCTGTAATACGGATATATTCAACCAATCATAGTCGTTCATTCATGACAAAACAAAATTCATGCTTTCAAAATGGCGACGCTCGAGTAGCCGTGCATCGAGTTATTTCAAGAAGGGACAGAGGATTCATTAAATAAATCAGATATCAATGTGCAAGATGCTTCGTTTCTGTCAAATTTAATTGAGGAAATACGTAAATATCCTTGCATATGGAATGATTCTTTAAAAAGTCACAAAGAAAGACCAAAAAAAACTGAAGCCTGGCGTAGGATTTCTACAGCATTGAATGCACCTGGTAAGTTATTCACGAACGAGCTTATACATGATAATGCCATAAGGCAATAAACCCGATAATGAACTTTTCTTGTCGCACAGTTCTTATATTCAGTAGTTCTTTTGTTGAAGTAAATATTATAAACTACACTGGCAATTAAAATAACTGCTCACCTACATGTAATACATTAATAGGTTAACATTTGGAAGAAGTGCCAAAACATTACATATAATCATATCAGTCACTAGTTTTGAACCCAAAACTAGTCAGAAAGCACGCAAGCGAAGATCAGACCAAATTGATGACCTCTTAACCATCAATCTTGCTAATGATTTATCCAATGTTAGTAAAACTGGTAGTTGTGAGACAAACAATCAACAAGATGAGGATACACTATTTTGCTTAAGCTTAGTGTCTAGTTTCGAAGGGATGAAGGGAAAAACTAAACAAATGGCTAAGATAAAGGTGCTACAGGTTCTATGTGAGTTAGAAGAAGATGAATGAAGTTCATTAGCATCACTGACAAATGTATTACAGAACATTCAATTTGCTTTTTTATTTAAAGTTTGTTGTAACAAGTTATTTTAAGTTTTTGTTTCTGTCTTATAATATATTGATTTGTTCGAACATGTTTAATAATAAGTCTGCCTTATTAGTTATTTTTGTCAAAACAATTTTCAGTGGCATGAACAGATTCCCACTGCCATATAACTTGCCCCTCGTTTGACATAAAATACTTTTTGAAAGCTTCTCTAACTTTTTTGGCATTACGAGAGTAGTTGTTTGATCCATCTCTATAGATTGATTGCAAGCCTCTGTCGCCTTGCGTTATTTCTCTCCACCGCCCTGGCTGTGTGCCATGTTTTGTATTTTTGTCAATTAGCTCCATGCGAAAATAACTCTCTCCATGAGAGCATGCACCTTCCCTCGTGAGATAATCATGAAGGACCACTGCAGCTTGGCTCGCAGTTCTTTCCCAAAAAAGGCTCTGCTCTCTGCTTGGTTCTTTCTAGAACCTCAAATTTCAACAACCAAGATAGCTTTGCGATACGCAGACGACTATTACGCAGTGCAATCAAAAAGCGAACAAAGGAAGAAAGGAAGTTATCGAATGAAGTAACAAAAATATCAGAAAGTTTAAAGAATAATCTATCCTCTCTCGACTGGAATATTATAAACAAAGCTCTAGAAAAAAACATTACCAAATACCTACAAAAGACAATTGCCACACATCGGAAAAAACTAAGTAATCTCACGAGGAACAGAACCCTACAATTCACACACAACAATTCGATAACCAATCTATCATCACACCAATTAAAAGACGAAGAACTAGAATTCCTGAAAAATGGCCTTGGGTTCAGCATTAAACCACTGCGACTCAACTCAACCGACATTCTGGCAACATTCGAAAATATCCACCAAAATATAAAACACAACATTCGCAATCAAGAAGACTACACTCATCTCAAAACAGAGCTGGCACACATCAAAAGACGAAGGTGTCATTAGTATTGTCATTAGTATTGTCATTGATGGTGTCATTAGTATTGTCATTAGTATTGTCATTGATGGTGTCATTAGTATTGTCATTAGTATTGTCATTGATGGTGTCATAGATGGTTTCACCAATTATAAGACGAAGAACTAGAACTCCTGAAAAATGGCCTTGGGTTCAGCATTAAACCACTGCGACTCAACTCAACCGATATTCTGGCAACATTCGAAAAAATCCACCAAACTATAAAACACAACATTCGCAATCAAAAAGACTACACGCATCTCAAAACAGAGCTGGTACACATCGCTCACTCGTACATCTCATCTTATCACCCGACACCAGCTGACTTCAAAAAACATCACATCCTTAAAAACATTAGCAACAATCCAAACATTATCATTCTCAAACCGGACAAAGGCAACGGCGTTGTAATCATGGATCGTCAAATGTATCGTAACTCCTGTCTTAAAATCATTAACAATACAGCAAAGTTTACCCCACTCAAAGAAGACGTCACACTACCACGTGAAGCCAAACTACAACGACTGTTAAGGAAGCTTCTAAACAAAGACTCTATTAGCAACAAAGTTTATAATGATATCTTCCCCAGAGATTCTCAACCCTCACGCTTCTATGGCTTACCGAAACTTCACAAGAAACGAGAACAAGAACAATCGCCTCCACTACGACCGATAGTTTCATCAATCAACGCATGCAATTATAATTTAGCTAAGTATCTTAGTTCTCTACTAACACCACTCATACCAGATGACCACTCCACTAAAGATTCTTTCGCTTTCCTCGACGACTTCTCATCTTTCAACTCATCAACGTCTTGTCACAAATTCTTCATCTCCTACGACGTTGAAAGCCTATTTACTAACATACCACTTACTGAAACCATCAACCTAGCAATCGACTTAATATTCACTCACAACCTCACGTTCAGTATAAACAGGACAGACCTCACACAACTGTTTTTAATAGTAACAGCACAGACGCATTTTTTATTTAATGGAAAATTTTATGAGCAGACGGACGGTGTTGCGATGGGCTCTCCCTTAGCACCCATACTTGCTAACATTTTCATAGGCTCACATGAACGAAACTGGCTAAACAACTACAACGACACTAAACCACTATTTTACCGCAGATACGTTGACGATATTTTTTGTGTTTTTGCTAACGAAACTGAGGCTATGAAGTTTTATAATTACATTAACACACAGCACGCAAACATTAGATTTTCTTTTGAAACTGAACAACAAAATCAACTGCCATTTCTTGACATTTTACTAACAAAATATCACGACAGCTGTACAACATCTTCATACCACAAACCAACGTACACAGGACTTCTGACGAACTATTTCAGTTTCACACCACTTTCATACAAAACCGGACTTATACGCACACTAATCGACAGAGCATACAAACTTAACAATACGAACAATGGCTTTCAACGAGACATAAAAAACATCACATCCACTCTTTTACGAAACTCTTTCCCACTTCACTTTATTAACAGAACCGTAAAACGATATCTCGACAACAAACATAGCAAAAACCTCAACCTAGACACCGAAACTCCTGACACGACGATCACAACCAACACAAATGAAAATTCCAAAATAACAACTCTATACTTCAAACTACCACACATCGGACATTACTCACGACACGCAGTTGCGTAGCTAGCGAAAAACATTTGGTCGGGCTCGCAAGGCGCCACCATGGTTGGCGCGGAGCCGGGAAATTTTCCTAATTTAGACTCCCTAGAACGTCGGAAACGGCTATCTTAAAAAGCAAATGCGTGATATTTATGCAGGAAATAGAACCATTTTGGTTAATTTAAATTGCCGAAGGATCTTATAGTAAAGCAGAGAAATAGTTCAAAAATAGTTGCAGATATGTGATTTATTTTCTCAACACCACATACATAAATAGATACCTATGTACATCTTGTAAAGAAACTTTGACAAAAGAACCGAAAAAGGCTCAGATTTGTCATCAACAACTATCAAAAGTTGTGATGCCGTTCATTGTCGTGCTGAATTGACAATCATCATTGCCTGCATTAAAAAGTTCCCGGAAAAATTCTCACATGCCATGGACGTAAGACATCATCAGCTTGCTATCAGCCATATATGAATACCTATTTGTATAAGAGAGCAAGTCTTCGTGGTTTTTCAATGAACTTCTTTACTACCTCATCATGCAATGTGTTGGCGTTTTCTTTCTCTGACAGTATGTCTTTGTGAATGGAAATCCTGCAAAGAGAACTAAAACGTCCTTGGCTCATAGTATTTCTAAGATAATTTTTTACCCTCTTCTAACAAGAAAATGACCTCTCAACTGAAGCACTTGTAATTGACAAAACCCCATTTATCTTTAACAGTTTTACAACTTCTGCAATACTAGATTGAAGATGGAACTGAAAAATATATTTCAATAGTTCATCGCAAGAATCACGGTGAAAGTCTTTATCTCTGTAAATAAAACAAAGTTGGCTAACTAGCATTGGTGTGTCAAACATATCACCATAAACCTCCTTTAGAAGATTTATCTTTTCTGAGGGCACTTCCCCTTTCTACATTTTAAACACCCTAGGGTTAACAAGGTCTAATAATCTAAAACGCTCCATATCCTGAAATCGCTCAGTCAGCATAGTCACAATTGTGTCAAGAATTTCAAAATACATTTGTTATAATTATGCCGTTGGTCATACCTGGTTACTGGTGGTCCCACTTTCTCAACAGCCAGGTCGTACACCTGACAATATTCTGTATCATTTCTCAGAGAAGCAACAAAGGCCTTGAATCTCTCAACCCTGCTCACTCCATAATGAAAGTCAGTGTCCTTGTCTTGCAAGATAGAATAAAGTATGGATGACTGCTCAAGAATTCTATGGAAAACAAGTACCAAGAGACAAAACAAGAAGCCATTAAGGTAGCCAAGTAAACCAGTAACCTTACTTAACGTTTCATCATCCCAACCTATTGGATTATAAGTAAGATTTTCAAATATGTCTATCAGTTTCTCATAGTTGGAATGCAAGACATTGATGACATGAGGTAGAAACATCAGTTGCCTCATCAACCTGTACACTTAAGAAAGTGCAGCAATCTATTTCCTTTAAAGTCCCATCCTCTATTATCTTATCAAGACAATCAATCAAATCATTCTGAATATCAGGAGAGACTCCAGTAAACCGCCCTCCCCCAGCAAGGTGGGTTTCAGCAAGCCTGCCATGTAATCGCCTTTCAAAAACAGAATCCAAATTGGCAAAACTTTCAATTAGCTCTCTATAATTTCCTCTATTCATGCTTCCACTAGATTCATCATGCCCCCTAAATGCAAGCTCTTGCCTAGACAAGTATAAAACAGCTTCTGTTATGGTTTTCAACATTTCCCTGTTTTGCCTTACCTCCTCGTTATGACGCTGAATCTCTTCACGTATGGCTTGTGACATGAGACAGTCGACACAAGGCTGAAAACCGTAGGTCCTCCAGGTCTTGTAAGCACCCGTGTGCGATTTTGCCTACTCATGCTTCTTACAATCGGATAGGAAATTCTTCATGTTTTTGAATCCCGTCTGCGTCCATGAAGATGACGATCCAGGGCGAAACAAAAGACAAGGCCAACAGAACAATGCTTTCTTTTCTGAGCTACCACAAAGCCAATCTTTCTTCGAGTACCAACTTTCCTGAAAGCTTCTATTGCCTGTACTCGCTTGTAAATTTGGAATTGGCCGCTGCTTTACGAGTATATTTTGCTCGCCTGATTGTCGAACAGAAAATGGTTTCTTTTGTAGTTCACTTATTATATCGATTTCATTAGCCGAAGCCATTGTAATGTAAGTTATCACGATTTCCGAACGCATGTTTCGAAAGCTCAAAATTCAAGTCACGCTTTTGAAAATGAGCCCGACTAGATGTTGTTAAACGTTTGAGTGTGTTCACAGCTACTCTCAACCAATCAGATTACAGATATTCCCACTATAGATTTTATTACTTGGTCGGGCTGAATTTTCAGAGCCCGACTAGATGTTGCGAAACAGCGCATTTGAGTTTGCTCGGTTGCTGTCAACCAATCAGATTGCAGATAATCCCACTATAGATTTTACTACTTGGTGGGGCTGAATTTTTAGAGCCCGACTAAACTGCGTAATGCCTGGCACTAGTCATTGTTGCTAAGTAACGTTTAAAAATATGATAATTTTGCTAATAACGACGCAATTTGACAAATATTGCACTAATAGACTGTGGATTATTCCAAAAAGAGTCGCAGAATTTAAAATTTTCGCAAATCCAATTTTAAAGAAAACAAATTTTTCTTTTTTGGGAAAATATTTGGTCGGGCTGGGCACGACCAGCTAGACCGCTAGCTACGCCACTGACGACACACACAACGCAGACTTACAAACATTATGAAGCGCTTCTGTACAGATATTGACATTCGACTAATTTTCACATCATTCAAAATCAAAAACCTTTTCTCATTTAAAGACCCAATCCCTGATTCAATTAAATCTATGGTGGTATATGAATTCAATTGCGCGGGATGTAATTCCCGATACATTGGCGAAACTTCGCGCCATTTATCCACCAGAATCAGGGAACATACCACAACAGACAAGAACTCTCATATCTACCGACACCTTCTTAAATCTCACTCATGCAAAACCAACTACTCACACTCTTGTTTCAAAATCATCGACACTGCCGACACTTCATTCACACTTAAAATCAAAGAATCACTCCACATTAACAAAACCAACCCTGACCTCAATGTTCAAGTTTTTAAATTCAATACAATATTTAGTTTATAATACGCTCGGACGCTCCTCATTAGTCTAATTTATCTTATTTCCATTTTATTGTTGTAATTTGTGTATCATATTACTTTTATATAAACCCTGTATCACCTATTATTTCACTCATACTGAAGATGGCATCATGAGATGTCGAAACATGTCTATTTTCAAAAAAGTTGTCGTTTATATTAAATGCGTTTTTGTGTTTTGATGTTCATCCGCCATCTTGAACATGCAGGACGCGTCCAAGGAAGACGATTTCACGGCGTCGTCGCCAAAGGAAGCAGCTAAAATGTCAAGAAGCATGCGCACTAGCATTAACTAACAGCGTCGTCGTCAAAATGAGAAATTTCGTAAACTCTCTAATACTAATACTAATGGAATTCGACACACAGACAAACATATCGCCAAAATTCATATAAATATGCCATACGCGTACATGAACTATTAGTTATATTTCCTCCAGGGATTTTTTGGTTTTGGTTAGCCAACACAAAATGAGTGGTCAATTTACAGATACCATGTAATTGCATTTGTATTTGTTATATTCGACAGTCATTACTTTAACTAATGCAGTTATTGACGTGACTTGTATTGAAGTTTTAAATTTATTGCTTTTATATGAAATTACCAAACTTTTCATTTTCTTTGGCGTTTCTTGTGCAACAAATTATAGCGCTATGTGCAAATTTCTTCTTTAGTTTCCTTGTTATTTTTGTAACGCGTCATGCAAGTACGTACGCGACCTAGCGAATGCAAATTCATATACTCAAATTTTTGCTATTAAAGTACGGAGATGTGTCGAAAGCCGCTGTAAATACACTTGCTTGCGATATGTAGATCGTCTACTAATGTTGTTGCCTGACCAAGTCCAGCAAACCCAGGAAGAATTTCTAATTAGAGTTCAGCCAATATTTCATGTTATTGGCCCAATGTCCCAATTTGTTTGTCTTGTGAAATGCAGAATTATATATTTATATGCTTACTTTATGATGTCACGTCAGTTTCGTAGATGGAAACGAATGCCGACCTTAGCCCACACAAGACAACGCATGTTTTGTCCGTTTTGTGGAAAGGAGTTGCTCGAATCTTATGCTTTTTGCGCAAATTGTGGCAAAAAATCGAACTATCTGGACTGCAAGGTTTATCAGAGAAAGGGCTTCATGAAAAGGAATATGTTCCGGTTACTTTCACTTATTTTAAAATAAGAAAAGAAGATGAAAGAGCGAAGCACTTCAGACCATCGACTAGTGGCAGTGGCTATAAAGGGAAAGCAAAAAGGGCAAAAAGCACTGATGGAGATCTTAATGAAACTGTTCGGATAAATGTCGGAATTGTGCTTTATCATGGTGACGAATTAAAGATTCAGCGTGGGAAATCTTTAGTTCTATACAAAAATCTGCTAATGCTGAAAGCTTATTACAGGCAGGTCTAAATTAACATATGGCACATTCAAAAAATATAATTAAGCCTATGAGGAAGTATTTAATGCTATACTCAGATGCATCAAAATAGCAAAGCTAAAAGAGAGTGAGAAAGATTTCGTTTTGCATAAATACAAGGAAGAATGTAATAAGCCATATCACAGAATTAATTTCTTCCTTTGCCCAGACATTGACTATTCTATATCAAAATTAAAAGGATGCTTGAAGTATGATAACAGTAGCAGTGATAAAGCACATGATGTTGAAGTAAGTAAAGAACAGTCTTCCAAGTCAAACAACAACCATAGTGATCGTGAAAATAAGTCAGTACCCATCGTAGTGAATGATGAACAGTATTTGAAGGATGATGTGAATAGCAGTAACAATATTGAGGATGTTGAACAACCTTCAACATTAACCAAAAGCCATAGTGATGGTGAAAATTTTCCAATAACATACAGTCATGATATGCTAGTAATGAATTCACCACCTATACCAATAAATGATAATCAGCACAGGGGTGAAAAACTAAACAGTTTAACTTATGGTACTTTAAGTGAATTGTTTCCACAAATAAATGATCAAATTATTCAAGAGGCTTTGCATAACCGTGAAAATGATTTTAAAAATGGCTGTAGTTTACATTCTTGAACTACAAAATAGGGAAACAACACCACATCGAGTGTATGCTTCATTTGGATTCTGTAATAACATTGATGATGTTATAGATTTTCAAGATAATGAAGCATCTCTACCTGGTAGCACGCAGGTTACAAAACCTGAGGAAAGGCAAGCAAGCATAACTACCGAGGAGTCTCTTTCTAGCATTGTCAAGAAATTTTTAAAAGATAAGATAAAAATTGATTCAACACTTAGGATCAAGGTATGTTTTTCACCATGTGCCCAATTCATTCAACTTATTAAAATATTGTATGCACATTTCTTGAACCTTATTTGATAATTTTTATCACAAGATGTTGGGCTTTAATGTGTTAAATCAAGGCATAAATTTTATTTGAGCAGAATGGTCTAAGATATGAATATTACAGTTGTGATAAAAAGTTAATTATCTCTTAAAATTTAACATGACAGTGTCTTCTTTAATACATTATGCAGTTGAAAGTTAAGATTGAAATATGTTCAAAACCCGTTTATTGTGTACAGTAGTGCTTATCTAACAAGTGTGAATTGCTTCCATCATAATCAGGTTCATTGTTTTCTAAATGAAGTAATTGAAATTCTTTTGTCTTTACAACTGTAAAAGGAGTGAAATGTGGGGTAACTCAAGTCAGAACTATTTTTTTACATTTAAAAATTTTGTTATCCCCATTTTGAACCACCTTTGCATGGTAACATCACTAAAAACCCATTAGCTGTTGATTAAAAGAAGATTGAAGAATGGTTTGGTGATCGATTAAACATTGTTATTTATACAAATTTTCAAAATTCATTTTTTCTGCTGTCACATTAGTCAAGAGTGTGTCACATTAGATTGAAAAAATAAAGACTGTTTCATCGCAAGTAGGGAGAAGTGAGGAAGAAGTGAGGGGTTAGGGTTGATGTCAGGCTACGAAATTTAAAATGAAATTTAAGTTATCAATTTTTTTAAAGTTAACCTTTCATGCTTTTATTGGTATTCTGAGCCTGCGGACAAAGAATTTAATTCAAAAAATTCTTAACCTTTTTTCAGGTAAGAAGGAAAAATGTGTAGGAAGATGCTAAATTCAAAATAAGGAAGTGCTCAAATGAGGATCTAAACAGCATGATCAAAGTTCAGTTCGTAGGAGAACCTGCGGTTGACGAAGGTGGGCCGAGAAACGAATTTTTCTCATTACACCACAGTGAAGTATCTAAATCCTGCATGTTTTTTGGTGAGGATAACAGAAAAAGCTTCAACCATGACATTCTTGCGCTACAACAAAGAAGCTTTTACATTTATGGTCAGTTATGTTATGTTGGAATTTTGCAAGGCTCTGCTTCTCCTTGCTTTTTGTCTCCGAGTATTGTAGATTACATTTTATCTGGTGAAATTGATCTGGTAAAATCAACATGCATTAGTGACATACCCAATCAAAAGATGAATCATAAGCTTCAAGAGTTAGAAAAAATGAAAGATCCAGAGGCCTTCGCCAAAGCTGCTTCTTTTGACTGTTCATTTCGGTTTAAGGCTGGTTTCAGTAAACCACTCGTATCGTTTGAAGAAAAAGATCTGCTTTTCCAGGCTATTGTATTGCATTATAACCTGTTATCTTCCTTATCTGAAATAAATCAGTTCGTCGAAGTGTTGAATGTCCATGGCTTCATCGATTATCTACGCCAATATCCTCACCAAGCGAGCGCATTGTTTTTGCACAATGAGAACAAACTTACGGCTGAAAAACTGGAGGAACTTTTTCAACCGGTATTCTCATCTAGGGGGAGCAACAGATGTATAAATGAGGAGGCTGTGTCATTAAACTTTACAAGATATTTAGAAGATGTGGAATCTGGAGAAATTTCTTGTCCTATCATTGATCTGGAAACAGAAAAATTGTCTGAAATGGTTGTTAGATTGCCATAGTATTGCAGTTTGTTACCGGGAGTACAAGTGTGCCAGCAATTGGTTTTTAC